TTTTTGTAATCATTTTGATCTTGAAGCCATACAAACGGAGACTGAACAAAATACAAACGGTACTTTTCGTTCATAAACATGAATTGTGTTTATCTTTCTTTGTTACCAAAATCACTTTATTACATCATATAATGAAGGCGGATAATAATATAGTTTGACGCAAACATGTCAAGACAAAAGGTTTATTGTTAACTAACAATCATGTTTTTAGGCCTGAGCACTCGTATGTTTATCGAGTAAGGGAGAACAAAGTCTAAAAATATTGTATATGGCGCTTTTTATACTCATTTTCAAGAGCCTTACATCTCACAACAATAAAAATACAGTTCATGAAACAGCAAGCATTGACAACATAGAATAGGCCTAACATGCAGCAACATTTAATTGGTAAACTTCTTTAAAAAATCATAACTTATGTTGATTGCCCACGGATTATGATTTTAAAAGCATTAATATGTTGATTGTATTATTGCGGAGTGCTTGGCTGAGAGGTTCCCAGTTCTCGACCAGTATTTTTCGGTTCATACCCTGCTATAGTCGGTTTTTAATTGGACTCCCTCATTGCTCAGCTCCTAATAGTTATTACATTTATATTTCGGCTAAATCAGTTATAAAATCATTTAAAAATTCTAATTAAAAGCAGGTATAATTGGAAAAGAGCCAATTCACTATAAATAAATAAATAAATATGTGTATTATGTTTATAACCTGCCTTTATAGACTTTTATCACGTGATGAGGCATGTAGGCCTACTATAATTCCGATGCTTCCTCAGTTTGTATAATTTAATCACGTGATCTTCCCTGCCACTCTTGAAAAACTGGGGGTGATATAAAATCAAGAAATAGGCCTATAAAATTAGAGCGCAGTGGTGCAGTATTAGATGTTCTAAAGCAAGTGAGTAAGATTGATTTCAATACTTAAAATTCAATATTAAAAACATTTATTGTTTTTTTTCTCTCTTTCTCTTTCTTCCACTTTAATAAAAAACCGACATACACACTTATTGGTTTAGTTTATATTAAAATTATGCGTAGGCTTTAAATAATTTTATAATTTTTTTAATGCGTGTTTTAATCATAGTTTTATTCTATGGAATGCTGGTTGTTTCTTCTTCTATCCCGTTTTCCTATTGTACACGTTTTTTATACCCTCCACTTTGGTCATTTCAAACTTGTTCCAAACACAGAACGTAACACAACAGAGACGTAACTGGTAAAATGACGCCATTCTTTTTTTTAATAATAAACTGGTAATTAACGTTTTACAAAGAGTTTAAAACTAGTTACGTATCTTTCTAAGTTACCGTGAAATGCATACTGTAAACGCTGCATAGCTCAGTCGGCTAAACTGGTAGTTGCCACTGTTTGCTGAACCGTAGGTGTCAGTTGGTACCAGGTTATATTTCCATCTGCTGTTCTACTTTCCGTTTCAGTTAGAGGGCTAAAATGTAAGTACAGGTATTAAAAAGCGCACCGTCTTTCGGAAGAGAGGTTAAAGCCATTGGTCCGCCCGGGTGCAATATAACCCATACACGTTAAAAATTGCAGTACACTCTTTGGAAAAGATTAGGGGATTGTCTCCAGCTGTATTTCCCAATCACCACAAGAAAAGTCCCCACTGGAAACAATTCTTCGGACTTTCGTGGCTTATCCTAAGTATAAAGTTTTAAGTTATATATATATATATTCATGTATATGTATATATAAGTATACATAAAATATATATATAATATATATATATATAAGTATATGTACTTATTTTCAACGTATTTTAATAAAAACTAGGATTGAAACAGCGTGAATCACTTTACAGACCGTAAACAATGCAAGCTGGGGTGTCTAATATAGTAAGTATGGCCGACCAAGAATGCCATAACGTGTGTTTCGAATTTCTGACGACGAACGTTCAGAACTTGAATGGGAACGCTACGCCAAACAGCTTTGTAGAAAGTCTACAGCAGAGCTACCTACGATACTTTATTTATCCCTTGGATGCGTTAAAAACCCAGAAAATGTGATAAGAATTTGGTTAAATATGTTTCATTGAAATTGTATTTCAGGTGTGAATTCACGTATGAAAAATGAGACTAGTCGTCACGTTCCAGACAGTTCTTCTCATTTCGAGTTACTCTAAGTTCTCTATCGGTACTCCTCGCCCCGGAGGGTATGTATGCATAATAACGCTAAATGACATAATAGAGCAAATATCCCTATTGTAGAATTAGTAGGCCTAAGCCTTCACAGGGCATAATTTTTTACTTGGTGATATGTCCATTTTCTCACCATTCCTGAGTTTACATTTAAATCATAATTTTTCGTAGGCCTATCTTGACTCTTGCGAGTATACTTCTAACCTTATCTAGACTTAACTTTATCTAGGCACACTATCCTTTCATATTCGTCTCATTGTTTTAATTGTGGATATCGTTGGATAGGATAGAAGGGTAAAAACAATTGGCCAATGATGAGATAAGTGGTTAATAAAGTGAGTGATGGCGTTCGGACTTTTTCATTTTAGTTGTTATAGGACCTCATCCTACCTGCGTTTAGATAAGCCATAGTGGGTAAGCTTTAGTAAGTAAATAAGTGTTTTATTATGCTTATTATTTTTTTCTATGAATTTTATATTATTACTATAGTAGCATATTATTAAAAGTGAATGATCCTATACACAGTGAGTTATATGCGAGGTACGGAAGATAAACTAATACTATAAACTTTTGTTTTTGAGTATAAATAATACTAATATATATTTTTTTTTTATTTTACAGAGAACATGTATGCAGCCATAGAGTCTCAGCACAACGCACGCGCCAGGTTTCATATGCCGAATCGCAGCAACGTCGTAGTACAACACGTTGTGGATTTTTGAATTGGGGACGATGCGCAACATACAGGTCAGTGTTATTTTTCAGTGCTTACCTGCAATCGTAAGACTTCAAACAAACCCGGATCTACTTCATATCTTGTTCCAAAGTTTTATTTATTCTTGGTCATTTATTTACACGAATATGACTTAAAACTGATAACATTGTTCTTTGCCACTACTTAATAACATTAGCCTAACGCACATGTTTGCACACGTGACGCACAAATAAATAAATAATTAATAACAATCAAATATTTCTGACAACATTGATGATTGCCACTTACAAATTTATTGTTAAAGGGGCTGCAGCTGTTACAAGTAAACGAAATAACTGGAGTTGAATATATAAGGCTCCGTCATTAGCTTCTCGCACTAACATGAAGAGCTGTAATCTACGCTGTCATGGATGACGTAGAATTCAAGATTGTGTAATAAAATGAATTAACTAATGTGATCATGTTAGGTTCGGTACCCGAGTGTAAATATCACTCAGAATGACATCTACATAAACAAATCTAGCCGTCTACAAAACACGTCAAATTAAGAACTACTTACGGCGAAATAAATAAATAAATTTCATTTTACTATTTCTTCCTGTGGTTGCAAATGTGTTCCAGAAAGTAGTAAAACGAACATCAATGAGTAGGCCTATATAGTGTACCGGTAGCTAAAAATCACGAAGAGGAGGAAATGTCGCGAAAGTTCATTTTGCCTCTTAAATTTAAATCTGAAAAAAAAAAACATTGCGTACACATCTAAAGTAATCTTCCCGACCCTAGCCAGTTGTTGCGGGTCAGCCAGCTGCCTCGGTTTAATGCATGCAGAACTTGTGTCCTGGATAGAAGTTTGGTTTCTCGCTGGGAAAGCTGACAGTTTACTTGAATTACTGAATCCGTGTAGTGTATTGCGCACAGATGTGGTTTATGCGCCGAATGAACCTTATGGCTTTACATGAAAGACGAACATTGTACGAAAGTCAGATTACTTATGTTGAAGTGGTATTTGTCTCGAGCCAGTGGTGATTCTAGGGAATGCGCAAGACAGTGACGTAACGCCCGTGAGCTCTCGGGGTTCGCAGCCCTGGTCCCCGGTTAAAAGTGGCCCCGATGCGGCCCGAACTCCTCTTACTACCAGCAATGTATGCATAGTCTTGACCAGTGCTCTCAGAGGCAAAGCACCAGTCCCAAGTTTAAAATGACCAGAGAGGCCACTAGACCTTGTATTGTAAGAGACACATAACCTGTACAAAGATTAACTAACGTAAAATTATATAATTTACTGCGTTGATGATATTTAAAAAAAAAATAATACTGTGAAGGGAGCCCTAATTAGTAGCAAGAATTTTTCTACGTAACTTTTTACCCAATTACTGGCCCTTACACTCCTGCCATGATGGTACATTAAAGGAAGACACCCGAACAATTATCTGTGTTTTTATATACGGTGACATAGAAATTTGTTTGATATCGAACATTATCAAATATCCTGTGCTTTTCTCTCATCAGTGATCGATGACAAGTGTGCTCCGTATGAAAGTGAATGGCTATTTCATAGAATGCAGCTAGCAGCCAGCCTACACATTTTAGTGTGACAATGTATACAGATCTACCTACCGCCAACACCTACACACATTGGCAAACAATTGGATAGGGGTGCCTCACCAACTTAAAAGAACAGATTCCTTCGGTACTCCACTTAGAGCAACCAGGAAAAAAAAACCACCAGCATCCTCAAATCCTTATAAAACATCCCAGCAGTCGACTCCAATCCCTGCACCCACTCTCCAAACAACAACTACTATAGAAGTTACACGGTTCAATCCACATTGTGGCAACGGCTCCACCCCAGGTACCAAAATGGCCAGAATGAGAAAGGCCGAGCGGCAATGAACCGAACTGTTATCAATAAGTCTGGCTTTAGGTTTAACTTGAAACAATAGTACTTGATCTACAATGTATGTTACGTCATTATTCTCCAAACACGAGCGAAGAGTTTCACCAGAAAAGATTGAAATGTTTGTTTCGTTGCCTTAGTTAGGTTTGAATTTTTAATGGCTTGTTTTGTTTTTTTTTTCCTTCCATGCATGATATCTAGCCGGACTTACTATCGTAAGTATCGCACCCAATCATACGCCGTGTATTCTACAAACTACTATTGCTGCTCGGGTTGGGCTGAGGACAATTTCGATGATTGTACAATCCGTAAGTAATAATTCTGAATTAACAATGTCATTGCTTGATAAGGATATATCATTTCTATATCCATCCTATCCGTTTCTTTCTTTCTCTTTTTTTCTTTTATTAATATTTTAAGAGGAAATGTCCCACTCAGCAAAGCTGATTTTCAGGGGAGTTCTTATGCTATTATAATGTATGGCTGTGTGTATGGTGTATCAAACATTAATTTTGTCTATTTTGTCTATAAAAATATTACAATTCATCATAATTTCTCGACTAACACTACTCTTTATTCGAATCTATAAACAAGCTCGCTGTAATATTGTGAATTGTGGCATTGGTGGGACATGCATTCAACCTAATGTATGTGCTTGCAATTCTGGATTTATCGGGCTAACGTGTGAAGGTCAGTAAAGTATAATTGTATATAAGTATATTCAACAAATATGAACTATTTACTTACATATAATGTTTATAAAATTAATAGATAGAAATACATTTTCCTATTTGCCCTCTTCCAAATTAAACTCGGCATTGCTGCTAGAGACCCGAGGAAGCCACAATGTAGCTAAGGTTCCATAAAAGGACAGTGTAAACACATCAGGGGTGGCGCCAGCAGGAAGCCGGGGGAGAGCTGCCCCTCCCCCCGTTGGGGAGAAAAACCACAATTCGTTGGGGGAGAAAAAAAAATTATATGTATTTTCTATATATTAGTAGACTCTAAAATCGATTAAATAAGCCTTTGAAACCCTTAAATTGTCAACATTTTCGGGGGCTTCATTCTCTGGACCGCTTTAACAACATTTTAAGTGACGTTCGACCAAGCCCACATTGCTCTTGTCGGGGGAATCGCCCCCTCGTCATGAGTCCCCCTTGTCGGGCAGATCCTGCCGCCATCCCTGAAACACATGCAAACAAGTGCTTTTGAAACCACTGCAACTCCCAAATAAGTGGGGCTGCAGAAGTGCGCCTGATCAAACGTCCGCAAGATTCTTTAATTAGTTGTAGTATGCCTTAAAAAAATAAATAAATAAAGACAAATAGAATGGCAATAGCTGCTACTAGCAGAAATTCAAGTGAAGCTAACCAAGAAACGTAAGTAATTTGAGTACTATTCGCTGTTTCATCGATAATTCTCTGTGTGCACATGTAGTGAGATTTTCTATTCTTCATCGGGTGGACTATATTACACGACTGGGCGCTTGCCTGTCTCTAATGACTACTATTATTTTCTGAACCGAATCCTTCATATGCTTGGCTAATCTGTTTTTTCCAGCATTCAACTAGACTTACAAACGTGTAAAAAATTACATTCTCGGCCGGTAGTTTTATACACGGGAATAGTCATCAAATAATTAGTAAAAAACTAAATATTTACTTTACAATTGTTTAGTAAGTTAAAAAATATGCAAATTAATCGAATACAAATTAGGAACGCGGATCTCTTGTCGGGTTCGTGTCAAATTTTAGCGGAATACACAAAAACGACATGAGACGACTAAGAGCTGCAGTGCGTAGTGCTTTCCTAATAGATTTACGCAGCTATCTGTATCTCTATTGTAATTATTATTATTATTATTATTATTATTATTATTATTATTATTATTATTATTATTATTAATTTTATTATTGTTATTATTATCAGGCCAAAATAAAAATTAATAATGGTTTGTTGTGACTCACTTTAATGACGTGTTCATTGAGATTGAAACGGTCTTTGATTCATAATACTATGTCACCTTGTTTATAAAAGCTGCTGACGCTCTGATTTGCACAGATTAGATAACACATTTTTCGTTAAAATGAAGAAAAATGAGTTTGTGTCGTAGGAAGGCGTATGCTTGGCGATTTTGTAGAGGCGCTATATTTGTTTTAGTTTGAGGGGTAATTTGATCGTTTGCATTAGACATGTGAATCCTCTCTTTGCTTTGCTTCCAAGCGTCGCAGACCTTATTATGAC